TTTCTGAGGCAACAGCAAATTTCTGTAGAGAAATTTTTATGGGCAAAAAAAAAAAAGATACATGTTTATAAAACATGTTCATGTTAGTGAATAAATTTGCTGGATCTTTCTGTAATTATAAAGGGTTTAAAATAAAGTTTTGAGGACTAAAATTTGGATAGAGATCCAGAAGCCACACAGGTTGGGCCTAAGATGGTTAGGAACAAAGATGGCATATTTTTTCCCTGGTGCTTCCCCCATAACTTTTTAAAAAGATAAATGTTGACTTGATTGGTAATACAGGTAAAGAATAGATTGCAGGTGACACTGTAAAATCTAGATTGTGGCCTCTGTACAGAAAATGTCAAAGGGGGCTCTTTTTTCAGAAGTTAGCCCGGGACTCTCAGGGGAGGGGAAGAGGGAGGGAGGAGAGAGAAGGGAGAGGGAAAGAGGAAGCTGGGGAAGAGGTGGGGGAAGGAGGGGTAGAGGACCGAGGAAGGGAAGGGGGAGGGAGATGAGAGGGAGCAGAGGAAGTAGGAGAGCCAGGGGAGACCAACTGACATTTGCTTGGCATTCACTATATGTCAGGCGGTGTGCTTTCACATAAATTACTTCATTGACTCTTCACAAAGACTCTGCAAGTTAGATATATTTTAATATTTGATTTTTAGATGAAGAAATGGGGGCTCAGAAGTGTAAAATAACTTGTCTGAGGTCACAGAATAAGGAAAAATGGTTTGAAGCAAACACTCATTTTTGTCCCTCCAAAACTCCTCCCCCTTTCTCAACATTGTATTTATTTGGAGTGTGTGCCTTTGGATAAACTGAAAGAAGTAGGCAAAGGAAAAGCCATTTGGAACAGTCTTTCATTGAAACTGCACAGGTTCTGAGGCTGTTTTCAGTGGTGATGGTGGTGTAAGGGGAGACTACATTTGGAGCATTACAGAATTCTATAGTAAAAGTGATGTCTTATAAGGGCGACGTTACACTTCACGAGAAGAAGCAGCCGTAGCAAGAACTATTTGGAGCAAGCTATGTTCACTGCTCTGGATAAAATCATAATCTTGACATGAGCAGTTCCATTTCACACAGGGACCATCCATAGCAACTGTCATTTTATAACCAAGTGGTTGGCTTGCTTCACATCCAAATATGATTCCTCCCTATCCAGGAAGAACTGACAAGTTTATAAAGCTTCAAAAGGCATTTTCACTTTTTTTCTTCCTACTAGAAAATCCAAATAAAACAGGAGAACAAAGACCTACAACAAATCAAGAGGAACCAGTACATGACACATAGTAGGCACTCAGCCATTACTAGTTGAAGTAATGAATGAATGTTCAAAGCGCTCTTGAAGAAAGCGATCAATTAATTTCCTGAAAAAAAATCATTGATGTATTAGGAATGCTATGGAAATCGTATTGTACATAATCGTCAGTTTCAATTGGTTTGATTCTAGTTGGTTCGCCTCCCACAGAACCGACTCCTCATTGTCTAAGAGATGATTACATGGCTTAGGGTAATGTTTCTGGAGTTTGCTTCCTGGAACATCTATATCAGAATCACTTGGGACCCAGCCCATATCTTAGGGATCAGGTCCCTAAAATCTCTATTTTATTAAGATCCCCTGGAAATACGTCATTTGAGTGAAAGTTTGAAACTACTGATATAAGGGTTGAACAGGTGTCTCTTATACGATCATAGACTCAGGCCTATCTTTAACAGAATGCAGATGCTAGTCCACCTATGTATACATTAGCTAGGACTCAGTCTTGTACTACTATAGATTCCAGACCAATATTTCCCAATATTTAGTGTATATAAGTCACCCAGGGAGTTTACCAAGTGGGAGATTTCCAGGCCCCACCCAAAGGCACTTGGTTGAAGCCAGATCTAAAGTTTAAACAAGTACCCCATGTGATTCTGATACACGAATGCTACTAACCTCACACCCAAAACAGAGCCCTTCTGGAAAACAGTATTCCTGTTGCATAGTTATGCAACTCTGAAAGGACATTTTGTTAGTGATTTTACCACCTCTCCAGGCAATGAACTCCATTTATAAGTGGCTTTTATCACCAGAAATTTCTTACATTGAATTAAAATAACATCCTGTTAATCTGTCTGTCTGGTTCTCTTAATTAGAGCTACACAGAAGTCCCCAGCATTGTTTTTAAGAAAATATACTTGACCAAGAAAATAAGTGCTTTTCTTTCCTCTGGATCCCTCTTTTGCTTCTTCAGCAGAGTGTGTAGGTAAGGAAAATGTAGAGATCTAAACATGCATCCCTGATAAGAAGAGAAGGGCTTCTGCTACTTATATTGCAATAATGTTTAGAAAATCAAATATCTAGAAAAACTTGGAATTCTCATTTCCTGGAATAATATCATAACACACATAAACAAACAAAGCAAACATGTCATTTTGAGCTGCCCAGGATATGGGGAGTTCTGTTGATCAGAATAATGTTGATGAGGGAAAAGGTGAATAAGGAGCAGTTTAGGACTGATTCAGGTGTGGCAGGTGCCTTCCTCTAAGAAATCAATGGGAGCCCTCCTTTGTTGAGGGTGCTCATTCATTTTTGTCCAGCTGCAGATCTCTGAGGGCAGGCATCTGATTCTTATGCCAACTACAGTCATCCGCTAGGAGTAGATACAGAGAAGGGGCACTGGCTGGAAAAATATGGGCATGTGTCCAGGCATTTCACTGGGGCTTCCTCAAATCCTCACAGTTTAACTAATTTGTCCCATGGGTATGCTTCCTTAAAAAAAATATTTTATTTTATTCTATTCACATATTTCAAAAGGAAGTAATTACTAGTAAAGTTTTAAAAGACAACAAGAATGGATCTGGACATGAAGGGAAGGGTACTCAGAGTGGCCATGGAGATATTGGATTTATCATTTAAAACAATGTGACTTGGCAAGTTAAAACAAAGTCCATGGCCCAGTTATTCATTTACAAAATGGGGATAATAGTAAGTCACTTTTAGCATTGTTTGGCAATTATATGAGGAAATATAACATGTGTTAATTTCTAAACATCTGTTGGTACATAGTCGCTACTCAAAAAACAGAATGTCAGTCATTATTGTTAACATCAGTAATAGTAGTGCTAGTTTGCCAGAATATTCACGCACTAACACCAATTAGTTCTCTTTGGAGGGTACTAAAAATGATTATATAGGTCAGGATGAGCAAAAGGAAGAATGAATACAAGCATAAATACACTAAATCTAGAAAGTTGCCTTTGCCTCAGTTTTCCCATTCACTTAGGTAAGGAGAGATTGAATTTTGGAGGTGGAGAAGGAGAATGAATTGTCTCGAGTAACTTGCCTGATAAACATGTACTCTTTCCTTTTTTCTTACAGATTTCTTCCTACTGCTTTAGCCAATTTTAGGGTACAAGATTCACACATCAGAGGTTTTGGTTTGTTTAGATGTTTTTAATGATACAATTCTCAGTTTATTCTTTCTGATGCAAACTAAGAACAGGGGGACGCCAGAATGTAAATGTGATGTTTTCTAAGAATGTCTGGAATGATTGGGCCCTAAATGTTCTTAAACGTCAAATAAAAGTTGAGTGAAGGTGTTTAAATCATTTCCAAGCCAGCATCTGAATTTGCATGTTGGCCGAGACGCAGGGAACATTATAGGTTCTAGACCATCTCCAGCATCCGAGCTGTGTAATCTCTGGGACTTTTTATCTCTTTGCAAAATGAGAATGAAAACACCTGCGCTGCATAACTTACAGCATTGTTGAGAGATTTACAGAAAAAAATGAAAATGCTGATCCAGTGTAAGCTGGCCTCAATCTCACAAGTCATTGCTCAGGAGTCTTGGCTCCATTTTGGAATTTGCACTGGTCTACAACCTCTTCTGCAGGAATAGCACAGGGGAAGGATAGAGCCAAGGTTCTCTCCCTCATTTTGAGGTCAAAATGGCTTAAAGTAGTTGTGCTCTCATATCCCGCAGACCAATTTTGGGCTCCTGAACAACAAAGTGTGGTGCCTGGAGGAGAGACATTTATGGTAGACATTACACTGCTAGTAGGGGCAGCCTTATTCAGGTCGTTGGCGTGAATCAGGAGAGCCTAACTGGGTGAAGCCCTCCCTACTACCATGCCAGAGCCCACATACTTGATACTCCGTCCATATTCTTATTTCATTAGTAAAATATGACTTCACTGTTCTTTTGTAATCCAGAAGCGTGAGGATACATTTGTTGCAAACCGCATGCAGATAAAAGGGGGATTCATTTTGAAACTACATCCTCTTAATAATAAATAACTTTTGATCTACTAGACATAACAGTAGTGCATTTCTTGTTAAAACGGCAAGCTTTTTCTTTTTTACCAAAATGAAAAGAAAACATTCATTTCTTTATAAATATTTTAAATAGTTTAAATACATATTTCATACCAAGGATATAAAAATAGCCTCTCTTTTTTTTTTGATAAATAAAGACATGTTCATTTACATGGCAAATAACGTGCAAGAGCTAACCACTGGCCATCAGCTCTATTTGACTGATTGTCTAGGAGATGACATGCAGTGATAATTGTCCCTTTGCCTTCACAAAAAGAAAAATAGATCAGCAGGAGCTGTGCACTCCTGAGGCCAACAATGCTGTGGATATTGTTCAGGAATGACCAACAGGCACTCAGGAAAAACCTTTGCTGCACTTCACAAAAGTCACCGAGGACAAAATGAATCCATAAATTCTTTGTCTGGGACTTCTAGCTGCTCAGACCCTCAGGGTCTTTGGACTTTTAAAAAGTCTGTCAAACAGACCAGTAAGTGAATACCTGTATAGGAAACTGTTTCTGCTGTGTTTCTAAGGATCTAGCAAGTGTTTGCTACAGTATGGACTTGGTTCTGCCTTTGGCTGGCTCCTCACGCACTCGCCTGCAGGACTCCCAGCTCTGCCCCGTCTTCACACCTGCCCGAGGCAAAAAAGGCAAACTGAAGCTGTCATGCAGTGGTGGGTTTGAAACTGGCAGCCGCTGCACGTGCGTGAATATCATAAGTTTATGGCTTTATTATCTTTCATTTCTTCTGTGCTTGTGACGATTTCCAGTGGAAAGTTCTCCAAAGGTTCCATAGACATCGATGCCGCTCCTTCCCTGTCCCAAGATCCTGGCAAGTTTTCCAAACTGAAGGAACTCGTGGCTCCTTGGCTGAGGCTGCCCTCCTCTGATCTGCTTGGGAGAACCAGGTGCAAAGACGTTTCCGAGGAGGAGCAGACAGAGGACGAGAGAGTCGCTGAAATGGACTGCAGAGGGGTCAGTGTAGAATCTGAATGTGGAGAGATGCACCTTAAAAATTGCAGATGACCTTCTTGGACAACCTGATAGTGGGCAGGTGAATAATCAAGGTTTGGAGAATGATAAAGTTCACTGTCTGCTGGATTTTGCTCGTGAGCTCCAGTTCGCTGGGGGCTGCTCCCCACAGAGGAGGGATCAACACTCCAAATGTCTGAGGTGACATTACCATGACAGAGTTGTGCTTGAGTATAAGCAGCTCCACCTGCTTGCAAGTGTAGGCAAGGTTGGTGCGTACTCCAGGTCATCCTGGTCTGTAAGCTGTCCCTGGAGGGACACACAGATGTGGTGTGCAGAGAGCAGAACCGTGACGACTGCTGGGGCGACAGAACATTTTCTAGAAGTCGCATCACATTCCTCATGTCTTTACCTAACTGAGAGACCTCCTGAGTCAATGTCGTTACCTGTGTGGATAAAGCAAAGCAGAAGACAATAGTCAGAGGTGCATGGCACTGATTTCAGAGCAGTGAGGCGGGGAAACAAGATTTCTCAGCAAGAAGGTCTGAAAGGCTGCTCCGCGTCCAACTCCAGCCAAATCCAAGGGGTGAATGGAGAAGTTGGCACCTGATATAAAGCCATCCTTATTCTGAGGGAACCTAGAGATACATTCATAGTCTGGCATTCTTAATCAGTAACTCTGACGTTCTTGAACAAAATTAAGAGACAGGGGTCAATTATCTCTTGTATCTCTTAAATACAGGCAGTATCATTTACTTCCCCTGAGTTAGTGGATTACACAGTGGTGCACACAAATCTTCCTGGACACCTCAAAAGCCAGTATGGAGTGGTGGGTGTTATATGTAAAGCACTCAGCACACCATCTGTCCAGAGTAGATAGTAAATGATAGCTCTCACTTTTGTCATTTCTGGCCGAGATCCATGCTTATCGTAGGCTCAGGGGCAAACTGGCCTTCAGCGGTGATGAAGGTGGTAAGCAAGAACCCACACCAGGTTTGTGAGGAAGGGAGTTTGCAGAAGGAGGGAAAATAGCAAAATAAGAGAAACCTGCTAGGCAGGTAGGTGCAGATCAGCATGGTAGAGAGCCTGGGGATGTTGCAGTTGATCAGTGAACCTGGAACCTTGTGGGGTTATAACCCAGATTGTGTGATATGTGCTTTATTCACTTTTCTATGTAAGTCATTTAGCTTTTGTGAGATTTTCCAAGTAGACACAACTCTCAAACACCTAAGAACCCCTGAAGAGTCTTCATTGTTCGTTTTACAAAAAACCAATAATAAAATTTGCCAGAGGAATTGTTTTCTTACCAACCGTATCACTTTTTTTAACCATGGAAGACCACCAGAAGATTGAATCTAGCTTTTCTGGAGTGTTTACATTCTTCAAAGTGGGGAAACCCTGTATTTCGGAAAGCAGGATACAAATATGTATTTTCTAAACTTTGGTGAGATTTGTAACACTAACACAATGTTGTAATACTTTGCCTTCAGCTGCTGCAAGACTGTATTTTATAAAGGACCTTCTATGACTTGAGTTTACTATCATGAATTGAAAAACTCCAACATAAGCAGCTGAACCTGTTGACTATCCTCAAAAAAACTAAAACAACAGGCAGTTCCACTTCAGTGATGCCAGATCCAAGATTGCTGTTTTGGGCAAACTTTTTTCAACCTTGACGTATACATTCCTAATTCCTCCAGCAGCTTAATTCATTCCACTTCCTGCGAGTGCGTTCTGAAACTAATTCTCCCTGGCAGGCCCATCAGGAGGTAGTGCCGCTTGAATCAGGCATTTAAAAAAGGCCAGAAGGAGGTTTTTCCATGGGTCAGGCAACCAACTGGTAACACCTGTCTTGAAATTGCCAGGCCAAAAGTATTTCTGCCTTGCTGCTAGCATGGAACTCGAGTTACTCAATTGAACACTTGTCCGGGCTTTTCAGCAGATCTGAAACTTCTGGCGATAAAAATATACCTCCGAGCCTCACGTTTAAGAAGCAAAACAGTGAATCTGAGAAAGATGCTATGTGTTTTGAAATTTTCACTGCAGGTTTTCTAATTTCATGACCTGCCAAAGCCTCAATTTTTTTTTTTTTTAGATTTTATTTATTTATTTGTCACAGAGAGTACAAGCAGGGGGAATAGGCAGAGGGAGAAGCAGGCTCCCTGCTGAGCAAGGATGCCGATGGCAGGACTCGATCCCAGGACCCTGGGATCATGACCTGAGCTGAAGGCAGATACTTAACCAACTGAGCCACCCAGGCGTCCCTGCCAAGCCTCAATTTTAAAGTGCATGGCTCACATTTAAATCAAGATCTGGATCTTGGCACTGCAGACATACACCCATGGGCTCCATCTTGAATTGATAAGCTCTTCTATCAAGATTTCAGAAGAGAAGGCTGACACTAAATGAGGTATCTGAAGGGATATATTGACCACCCATTTCTGTGGACTGTCTAAACTTCATTCCTGTATCAAATTGACCAGGGGTACATTAACTCCCGGTAAAATGCTTTCAATAGGCCTTTTATTAGTATTGAAGAAAAACAGTCTTTAAGGAACCATTTGCATTTTAGGCACATCAACAATTATGTTATTCAATAAATCTTTGAGTAAATTTATAATACAATATGCTTTCAGGTACCTTTTTCTCTATTGGATCTATAAACAGTGCTAAGATAGGCAGGGATACATTATTATTTCCCCACCTGTAAAATGGGGACACTAAGGCCCCAGGTTAAATGACATTTTTAAGATCGCTTATTTCATGAAGGACAGTCTTTGGCCTGGAATTCAGGCCTTCTAAGTTTGGTGCTCTTTCTGTTATAGTATATTATCACATGGGAAAGGAGATATTGCTTAAGAGTTGAGAGATCTTTGCTAATGTGGTCAGAATTTGTGAAGGGCCCAAATGACACAAAAAGGTAGCTTCACGTGTAGAATCTATCTGAAATATTAATTCAACATCAAGTAAGTAAATACCATCATCTCTAAGTCAGAAACCAATTAAGCACAGCAAAATCTCCTCATATCAAATTACACAAATAAAACAACAAAAACAGTGTGCAGCAAGAGGAATTTGGAGCCAGACAATATGTCAACATACATATTTCTGATGAACTATTGTTTCTAGACTTCAAAATAAACAGGTATTTTTCCACAGGTGAAACACCATTTTATGGCCACATCCTTGACATCAAACTTTTACCGTGCATTTGTCCAACTTGGAGTTCATGAACTTTGAATGGGAATCCAGAGTCTTGACTGGCTGCCGGAATGTAAACAAGCATTAACATCTCCAGAAAACAAAATCACTATATCAGCTTGAACTAAAAGCTGCAAGGAATCCAAGGAAATAGAGCTTTCTTTAGCTCTGAAGGGTAATGATCAATATATATCAGGGAAGAATTCTGTCACTGTATGAGGACACACCCTTGCACCTTATTAAAGATACATGAGAGAATTAATCCCTGTTGGGTAAGGGATCTCTCCCTTCACAAGGACAAAGGCGACTGTCACAAGGAAAGATGGCATCTACTGGAGGTGGATATTCTGGTGACACGGAAGGTGACAACATACTGCCACAGAAAGTTCTACGCTTTTGCTCACTGCTTTCTGCTGGGCTTGCTAACAGAATTCATTCTAAAACAGGGGAGACCTTATTTTTAATCAAATGTGGAAAGCAAAGAATGCAGTCTCTACTTTCCAAGGGTGGTGAGGCTTAATGCCTTTTTTATAGCATGCTAAGATGTGCATTTGCTAAAAAAAGTTGTTGGGGCTACTTTGTGAACAAAACTCCACCCATTTAAGGAGCTATGCCTCCAAAATACAACTTAAAATCAGGGTACTACAGAAATAGGTCAGTAAAAACAAACAAAAAAATCATTCAGATCAAATGAACCAAAGTTTTCCCACTTACCTCAACACCTGATTATATTCTTTAAATGTCTTCTGCTACTCATATTAGAAGACACAACCTCTTTTTGAGTGGGTATTACTAAGCCCTTCACAAGCCCCATCTCATTTTTTTCTTTTCTTTTCTTTTTTTTTTGACCCTGAGATCAAGACCTGAGCCGAGATCAAGAGTCAGACGCTTAACCAACTGAGCCACCCAGATGCTCCCCCCATCACATTTTTTAGTGATATCTATTTACTGACTCCCATATCTCATGACTATATTCTGAGTGCCAAGTAACAAACTTAACTAAATTATTCAGAGTTGTTTTATCAGTTGAAATTTGGTAAACCTTTTTGCATCCCTGGTTGCTAACCTCACTGGCTATTTTAGATGTGGCCTTCTGATTATTTCTACTTATAAAGATAAAATAGATAAATAAACCATAACTTAATACACATTTTCTCTTCCTTGTGTATTAAGTTATATTTCCTTTATCCATTTTTTTCCTCTCCTTCCTCTTCCTTCTCCCAATTTTTCTGTGAATAAGAACCCATCAGTCTGGGATTTAAAACTGTTGGCCAAACCAGTTCACCATCACCATCTGCAGAGCCATTTCTTCACATCCAAGATTTCTCTATCCCTTCCAAAGTCCCAACTGCTAGAAAGAAGTGTTGAAAACACCATCTGTGCTTCCAAGTGGTTCAGTTTTCTATCCAAAACTTTGGAGCATCTAAAGATTCTTCCCTCCGCTGTTCTCCCAGTAACATGTATTTTACCACACAAATCCTTAGGTGTTTAGCAGGTTTGGGGCAGTGCATTTGGTCTTGTTGAGCAGCACCTTCTGTCATAAACAGAAACACCCATGCAACAATAGACTGGTCAGTTATCCATGATAATCCACACAGTGGTCTTTCCATACCTCTAAAAAGGAACTCACTAATTGCCACAATTCTTCTATTTTGGCTATCTGTAGGTTTGCTCAGAACTTCTGCTGGCTTAGAATTAAGCATTCTTGCCTACATTTCCAGAGTATCCTGGTTTTCTTCTCTTATGTTTAATTTGCTCCACTGATGTGATGTTACTTCTCGCCCTCCTCTCAATCATATGTCCACAGATGCTTTGTTGTGAGGATTAAATAATATAATGGATGTTAAAATTTGGTCCCCATACTACTGATACTTTGTCAGGATCCCAGTATCTGCATTTGATAATGCAACACAGCTTAGTTGAAAACTTCTTCATGGTAGGGAATACTGACCCAGGAAACATTTAGCCCCCCCCAAAATAAAAGCCAGTTATCTATATAACTCCTCTTCAGCCTCAGCATGGAGAGACAAACCATGCTGTTAACACTTTTACATAATTAATTTGGAAGAAACAGAGCCTCCAAGTTTTAGCATCACCTTGCGTAGATCTTTGCAGTAACAAATAGTAACAGCAATAAGCAGAGCCTTTGAAAAATGTTGATTAAGATCCCGTATTTCCGTTCTAAGTTTTGAGTAATTGCAGTCGGATGGATTGAGAAATCTCTATAAAGGATGCGTGAGTCAAA